TGCAGTTGCATGGTTTGGCTTGGCTGCTCCTTCAAACCACTTCCCAGAATGAGAAGGCAGAGGAAACTTGATTGCAGCCCACAGCCTAGAGTCAAGTCCAGCTGAGGCCAGCTGAGCCCACCAAAACCTCAATTGACCTACAGCCCTCAATTAGCCTGGGCAAGAAATAAAAGTTTACATTGTAAGCCATGAGATATTGATGTGGTTTGTTACCACAGCAAAAGCTAATACAGTTACACATAGGTTTGTGGCTGGGTACTAACATGCATTATCACTTTGATTTCACCTTCAAATTAATATTACTCATTTATTTATTTGATCTCTGCTATACAGTGTTAGGAGTACATATCCTCTGCTCCTTATGTTTCCATAAAAGGGAGAGATTTTCTATCCATACCTCAGGAAGAAAATTATCAAGAAGATGTGACTTATTTAGGAGAAGCAACTAAGCATGCTTGGCTTGGTGCCACCTGGGTTCTCTCTTTGAGCTTCCAGGCCTCAGCATTCTCTAATCTGCCATCAGCCATACAACAGGTGTCTGCCCCTGCTGCAGAGGCTCATGATTGTCCAGAAGCCTGTGGCCGGGATGGTAAATCTGCCTAGTATAGTGGTGAGTTATAAGAGAACCCACTTTGGTCACACAGCTAAGCCACTTCCTCCAAAGTAACTTTTATTGATGAGAAAGCTGACGTTTGATCCCTTCTGCATGACTCCTGTTACTCTCAATTTGTTCCAAACTTGGATGAGTAAGAAAAGGGTGTTACCTGTTGGTCTCTGAAGATGGCAGTATGTACCATGCACTATACAACATGTTGAGTATAAAGACATAAAAAACACGTGTCCCTTAAGTGCCAAGAATTCACAGTACAGTAGAGAAGAAAGATGTATAAGCAAACAAAACACAGGAAGGTGTGATAAGCATAATGACTGAAATGGTAAAAGTACAGAAGTAACATAGGGGAGAATCTAATTGAATTTATATTAGGAAAGGAGAAGGGGTATGGGAATTAAGCAAGGCTTTCCAGAGCTGTGATGTCTGAGCTGACTTTCCAAGGATGAATAGGAGTTCAGCTAGCCGTCTAGGTATGGAAGAACATTTTTAAACAGAGCAAAGAGAGCATACAAAATCATAAAGTCATGAAATAGTGAGACATTTTGCCAAGATATTTGTAGTTTGATGTGGTTGGGACAAAATATGAGGAAGTACTGACATGGAATGAGGCTGAAGAGACAAAGATAGAGGATAAATCATTAAAGGCTTTATACGCTCTACTGAGAATTTGGGAATGGACACTTCAGATGGTGAGTTGGGCCAGGTGGGGCTGTGATGGGCTGGAGGAAGCCTTCCCCATCTAAGGGAGGAGTTGCTACTCTGTTTCAGTTGGTCATTGCCATGAGGTTAAAAGGACATGTTGCCAGATCACCTGATTGCTCAAGGAAACCAGAATTTCATGTAAAATCTACTAATTTTTAAATGTTTGAGACTAATTTTTAAAATTGTTTAAACATAAAGCATTTCTGTTGAGCACCACAGCTTTGTGACCTCTGCTCTAGGTGACCAGGGTGATGGTCAGAGAAAGACACAACTAAACATATAGAAGGTGAATTGGTGAGAGGATGACCTGGACGTGATGAAGATCTGAAGCAGGAATCGGATTGGAGAGTAGTGTACTTAATTGGGGAAATGTTTAAGAGGATGTGCTAATACAATAGCCATTAACCACACGTGGCTTTTGTGTACTTGAAATGCAGCTAGTCCGAATTGAGATGTACTGTAAGTATAAATTACACGCCAGAATTTGAAAACTTAATAAGAAAAAAAAAGAGAATGTAAAGTACCTCATTAATAATTTTTTATATTGATTACATGTTAAATGATAATATTTCAGATATATTGAGTTAAATAAAATATATTGTTAAAATTAATTCCACTTGTTTCTTTTTTACTTTTTTCCGGTGTGGCTACTAAAGAAATTTAAATTATATATGTGGCTCCTATTACATATCTATTGGACAGAGCTGCCCTAGACCATGACTCTCAGCAAGAAGATGCATTCTAACTCTGGCCACAGCTAGTCGGTAGACAACACCTGGACTTGGGCCATTAGACATACCTTTCCCATTATGGCGTGTCAAGCCTCCGTAAGGTGTGATGCCTTCACCTCAGAGTAGAAGAAAAGACACACTAGGAGGGGAAAGCATGAGTTAGAGGAAGAGTGAAAATGAATTATCTAGTTTCCCAAGCATCTCTGAGGAGCATGCTGGACCTGAGATCCTGCATCAGGAGCAAATCATGAGATGAGAACATTCTCACAACTTTCAGAGAATCTTCATGGATCCAAATTGAATTGTGGTCCAATCCTATTGAATACTCACAATCTAGATCATCTTCCCCTCAGAATAGATTACTGAGTAGTCCTGATGAAGAAATACTGAGGTAAAGACCTAAGGAAGGGAGAAAAGGATCATGGGGAGGAAGCAGGCAAGGAATCAGATTCACCTTATCCACATTTTGGATCCTTTGTGTGTTTGCTCTGGAGGGAAAAGAAAGTGTTAAGCTCTGGGCAATAATGTCATACTTTCTATACATCTCCATCTTTTCAAATGCAATTCTCAAGTATTAACCATTCCTTAATGCTAAAATGAACATAAAATTTATTATCCAAACCAGGATACTTTTGAGAGTGAAAGTGCTCACTAAAAATTATTAACAGAAATTAACTGATCCTCAACAGACATCAACCAATACTGTCCCAGGCAAACTGGGAGCAATTCTCTTTAATTTCAGCAATTCGAAAAGCCTTCCTGCTAAACTAATATTTTCAAAGATTTTCCCTCTCTGTCATCAGATAACCAGGGATTACCTCCAACGTTTTCCTTCCTACTTTTCTGACCTTGACAGGGCTCCCCTCCTGTGTCCCTGGGATAACTACTTGTGGATAAGTCTTGTCACTACTAGAGATAAGATTTATCAGGTCCCAATTCATGCAGAGTTTCTCAAAGAGACAGAGTCCAGCAGAAAGGCGACTTGGATACTGCAGTTTCCCTTTCTCCTCCTCTGGAGGGTTAACAAGGCAGAGTCTCTTTCCAGGCTGTCACTGAACATCATCTACAATGAGAGCTTGGAATACGAGCATCCACCAACACAGTAGGGATGATGGTATCACTTGGGTCTGCTGAGTCAGTCAAGAGTAGGTACCACTTCAGATATTGCTTAGAAAGAGGCTGAGAGAGCAGCCTGGACAGGAAATAGTTGGAGGGATATCACCTTCTGACTGTTCAAGAGATGTCATGGACATGAGCATGCACTGAAGACTAATATTTCTGGGATGCACAGCCACCTGCACAGTTGGCACCAGCTCTGAAATGCACAGCAGATACAAATCAGAGTCAGAACTATTTTCCAGTACTCACCTTATTCTGGTAGATGCTCTAGACTTGGGAATAAACCATGTCTTCAACAAATGAATTTTCTAAAAGAGATGATAATTTCTCACGGGGGCTTATATGAAAGACTTTTCTTCTAATCTGTCTGTTAGATATTTACCATCCCAGACACAATATTGAGTCACTTATATACTGGAAGTATATTGACCTCAGAATACCTGGGACAGAAAGAAATGTCCCTTGGTCCACAGCTCATGGTTCCTTTCTACAAGCCCTTCTTGCCTGGCCTCACCTTGGTTCCTGCCCAACAAAGACTTCACAGCATTAACTTCACACACTTGCTGCAGCTCTGTTGGGGTGGTTGATTGCACACAGTAGGCTCTTGAGAGCCTGGGCTGCAAATCCCCCTGTGAAACAGAAAATCCCCTAATATTCTCTGGGACAGTGAATGAGACAAGGAGAGAGCCAGACCTGAGAGATAGGGTGGAGGGTAGAAAATCCATTATTTATGGATTATGTTCCCCTAAACTCATGCAAAGGCAGTTTTAGAGAAAACATTAAGGGGGAGAAAAATGACCAAGACAGACCTCAACCTGAAGTATTTGGGTACACAGCATAAGGCAGCGCCAGAGGACAATAGTCACTTATTTGCAAAGTCCCATAGGTAGAGTAGCTAAAAGTGTCATCATTACAGCCAGTTCTTTTATCACTAGCTTTATTACCCCTTCCTCAATTTCATTCCCTTCTCAAACCATTCACATTTGGCTTCTGCCTCAACCACTCCACTGAATAACTCAAATTAACCTTCCATGGCAGAAGGAAGGAAGGGAGAAGTAAATGGAAGAAAGAGGGTGATAAATTCCACAAAACCAGGGAAGTGGGTGGCTCTGACTTCTATATGAGGCAGCAACTTGTGTCCTATGCCCTTGCAATGCCCTAGGAAGATAGCAGAACCTCGAAGGGGAGTATTTCTGTTTTGCATCTATGGACAGTGGACCCCATGATGTAGAACCCAGTAGTGAATTCTCAGTCATCTTATTTGACCTATCAGCACAGTTAATTTATGTCTCCTTCTTGAAACACTTTCTTCAATTGGCTTCCAAGATACCACAGGCTCATGTTTACTCCTACTTCACTGTGTCCTACATGTGTGGTGGATAGTTCTTGTACACATTGACAGCTTTCCATCTCAAGTGCACATATTTCTTGACTTTTCTACCTATGGCTTTCACTGGTTCTCAGGAGGTTGCTCAAATCTGTATACAGGATTTAACACCAACAGGAACAACTTCAATCCAATAGGATATAGGAGTTAGTAGATAAATACCCCAGCTTCCCCATCCCTTGGGGAGACAATTGTGAAGTGGTTTCTACACAGTTCCTTAGAAGACTCCCAGTGGGATGGAGACCCAGTTGCCCATAGCAGTAACCAGCTCATTAGTAATCACTTTGATGAATTATCTCCCTTTCCCACTTATTTTCTTCAATCCCTCACAAGTGTTTCCTGGGATTACCATCCAGTTGAAAATCTTCACATAAATCCTTGTTTCAGGGGAATTCAAGCTAAATGTTGTGGTGCCCTGAGGTTCAGTTCTTGAATCTCATCTCTTTTTTCAGTCCTCACTCATTTTCTTGTGACTGAAGTCCTCCAGTCTCATGTTTTTAAATACCTTGTGTATGCAATGATTTCCCAGATTATGTCTGAAGCCCAGACCTCTCCCCTAAATTTTTACTCAACATCTCCACATGGAAATATAAAAGGCATCTTAGACTCAAAACAACCAAAACAAAACTCCTGATAGCTCCTCTCCCCCAAAACCTATTCCTCTGGACAACTTCCCCAGGCTCAGCAAATTTGGTTTGTTTGAGGAAAGCCCACATGGCTGGAATGTGCTGTTAGATGAAAAGAATAGCATGAAATGAGATTGGAAGTTTAAATGGGGGCCAGATCATGCACAGCCATTCAGGACAAAAAAGAAGTATGCATTTAAATTATGTGCAATGGGAAGCTCTCAAAGGCCTTTAAACAGGGTTATGAACTGATATAAGTTACATTTTGAAAGAGAAATGAGCCTTTAAGAATGATTGAAAGTTCACCAGGTAGAAAAGTCGAAGAAGAGTGTTTCCAACATAAGAAGCAGAACGTATGATTGGCTGTCAGAGTTGCCTATCTTCTATAACCACTTTCATTGATCTTTAATTAATCTGGAGTTTTTTTAAGATTTTTTTCAAATTTATTGAGATATAACTGACATACAACATTGTGCAAGTTAAAGGTGTACAATGTAATGATTTGATACATGTATATATTATGAAATGATTACCACAATAAGGTTAATTAATACATCCATCGCCTCACTTAATTACCATTTTTTTAATGTGGTAAGAACTTTTAAAATCTACTCTCTTAGAAACTTTTAAGTATACAATATAGTATTGTTAACTACAGTCACCATGCTGTACATTATATCCCCAGAACTTATTGATCTTATACCTGGAAGTTTGTACCCTTTAAGTACCTTCATCTATTCTCCTCATCCCCTCCCATGCCTGGAAACCACCAATCTACTCCCTGTTTCTATGAGTTCATCTTTTTTAGGCTTCACATATAAGTGAGAACATACAGTATTTGTCTTTCCGTCTGACTTATTTCACTTAGCATAATGCCCTCAAAGTCCATCCATGTTGCTGCAAATGGTAGGGTTTCTTTTTTTATAGCTAAATAATATTCCATTTTGTGTATATATTTGTATATATACGTATCTCACATTTTTTAGTAATAATCGGTTAGTGGATGCTTCAGTTGTTTCCTTGTCTTAGTTGTTGTAAATAATGCTGCAATGAACATGGAGGTACAGATGTCTCTTTAAGATAGTGATTTCAGTTTCGTTGGAGACACACCTAGAAGAAGAATTGCTGGATCATATGGTAGCTCTATTTTTATTTTCCTTGAGGAACCTCCACACTGTTTTCCATAGTAGCTGTACCAATTTACTTTCCAACCATCAGTGTACAAGAGTTCCTTTTTCTCCACACCCTCGCCAGCACTTGTTATTTCTTGTATTTTTGATAATAGCCGTTCAACAAATGTGAGGTGATATCTCATTGTGGTTTTGATTTGCATTTCCTTGATGATTAGTGGTGTGGAGCATCTTTTCATGAGCCTGTTGGTAATTTGCATATGTTCTTTGGAAAAACATCTATTTGGATCCTTTGCCCATTTTTAATTGGATTATTGTGTTTTTTGCTATTGAGTTGTATAAATTCTTTATACATTTTGTGTATCAGTCCCCTATCAGATATATAGTTTGCAGATATTTTCTTCCATTCCATAGGTTGTCTTTTCATTTTGTTGATTATTCCTTTTGCTGTGCAGAAGTTCCTAGCCTTGTGTAGGCCTACCTGCTTATTTTTGCTTTTGTTGCTTGTGCTTTGTGCTTTTGGTATCATATACAAAAATTTATTGCTAAAACTACTGTCAAGAAGATTTTCCCCCATGTTTTCTTCTAGGAGTTTTACACTTTCAGGTCTTAAGTTCAAGTCTTTCATTCATTTTGAGTTGATTTTTGCATGTAGTGTAAGATAGAGGTCCAGTTTCATTATTTTGCATGTGAATACCCAGTTTTCCAACACCAATTATTGAAGAGACTATCCTTTCTGCTTTGGGTAGTCTTGGCCCCTTTGTCAACTATTATTTGATCGAATATGCATGGATTTATTTTTGAGTTCTTGATTCTACTCCACTGGTCTTTTTTTTTTTTTTTATGCCAGTACTATACTGTTTTGATTACAATAGCTCAGTAATATAGTTTTAAATCAGTAAGTGTGATGCCTCCAGCTTTGTTCTTCTTTCTCAAGATTTTCTTTTCTTGTGGTGTCCTTTTCTGCGTTTAGTGTCTGGGTAATGCTGGCCTCATAAAATGAGGAGTGTTCCCTCCTCTTCTATATTTTGGATGAGTTTCAGAAGGATTGGAGTTAATTCTTTAAATGTTTGGTAGAATTCACCAGTGAAACCATATGGTCTTGAGAGGTTTTGTCAGGAAGTTTTTGATTATTGATTCAGTCTCCTTATTCATTATTGGTATTTAGATTTTCTATTTCTTCATAATTCAGTCTTGGTATGTTGTATGTTTTGAGGAATTTATCCATTTCTTCTAGGTTGGCCAATTTGTTAGAATATAATTGTTCATAATAGTCTCTTATTATCCTTTGTATTAATGTGTATCAATTGTATTATCCCTTCTTTCAATTATAATTTTCTTTATTTGAGTCCTCTCTCTTTTTTTCTTGCTTAGTCTACATAAAGGTTTGTCAATTTTGTTTATCTTTTCAAAAAACCAACACTCGGTTTTATTAATCTTTTCTATTGTCTTCCTATTTCCTATTTTATTTATTTTTGTTCTACTCTTTGTTATTTTCTTCCTTCTGATAAATTTAGGCTTAGTTTGTTCTCTTTTTTGTCCTTTTTTCTTTTTGCTCCTCTGACTAGATAATTTCAAAGGATCTATCTTTGAGGTCACTGATTCTTTCTTCTACTTGGTCAAGTCTACTATTGAAGCTCTCTATTGAATTATTCAGTGTAGTCATTGTATTTTTCAGCTCTAGGATTTTTTTTTTATGGTTTCTATTTCTTTGTTGAAGTTATTTTGTTCATGAATTGTTTTCTTAATTTCATTTAGTTGGCTATCTGTGTGTTTTTGTAGTTCAGTGAACTTCTTTAAGAGGATTGTTCTGAATTCTTTGTCAGACAGTTCATAGATCTCTGTTTCTTTAGAGTCAGTTATTGGGACTTCATTAGATTCCTTCAGTGGTATCATGTTTACCTGATTCTTGTGAACCTTTTATCCTTGCACTGTTATCTGCATATTTGAGTAAGTAGTCCCCTTTTACAGACTTTAAAGGTTCACTTTGGCAGGGAAAGACATTCCTCAGTCAGCTCAGATACTGGATGCGTGAGCTGCTAACATCTGCTAGCAGGTGGGGCTTGCTTCTGGGGTCTCTAGTTGGCAATGCCACTGCCTGTGCTCTGAGATCAGGGAGGTGCCACTGGCTGGGCTCTGCAGTTGGGTGGGTCTGCTGGTTAGGCTTTGCTTTCAAACAGGGCCACTAGGTGGACTCCCTGGTCGAACAGAGCTTCTGGCTGTGCTCCACAATCAGGTCAGGCCACTAACTGGCCTCTACAATCACCTTTGATTGGGCGAGGTCAAGGGCTGTGTTCCTTGGCCTAGAGGTGCCATTGGTTGGACTCTGTGATTAGGCAGGATCACAGGCTGGGCTTTGTAATCAGGTAGGCCACTGGCTGTGCTCTGCTGTTTGGTGAGGTCACTGGTCAAGCTCTCCGGTCAGGCAGGGCCTCCAGCTTTATCCTGCAGTTGGGTGAGGCTGGAGATTGTGCTCTGAAGATGGCAGGGATCACTCTCAGTGCTCCCTGGTCTGGTGGAGCTGCAGGCTATGCTCTGTGATTTAGCTGGGTTACTGTCTGGGCTCTGAGGCTGCCCAGGGTCACTATTTAGGCTCCCTAGTTACATAGGGCCAGAGCCTATGCTCAACAGCTGGGCAGGACTGTTGGCTTGGCTCCCTGCTCAAGTGTGGCTGTAGGATGGCTCTGTGGCTGCCTGGGTTCTCCTGGTTGGGCTGGACCAGAGGGTATGCTGGCCATTTGGGTGGGGCTTCAAATTTTGTTCCTTGCCAGGGCTGTAAAACAGACTCCACAGCTGATATGGCTCATTGTGTGGGGCCCTAAATCAGGCAGAACTTCCAACTAAGCTTCCTGGCCAGACAGGGCCATTGACTCAGCTCTGCAGATGGGCAGAGCCACTGGTTAAGATCTCTACTTGGGAGTGACTGCAAGCAGGAATGCAGTCTGCCAATATCCAAGCACTGGTTGCTATAAGCTCACCCCACTTCCCAGTCTCTATCTGATCCCCAGTGGTCAAACCCTGTAGATTCCCTCAGTGATTCCCATGAGGCAAGACTTGAGTGACCCCCTGGGAAGCAACCTGCAATGTTGGAGAGCTGGATTTCCACCCTGGACTCTCTTTTCGTACTGAAGAAACCGTAGGGCCAGAGGAGCCCTCTTGGTATGGTGCTGTGCCAGCCTAGGGGAGGGGCAATGCAGTTAAAGTGAAATTACTCCTCTTACCTTTCTAATGCAGTCCTTCTCAGTCTCTGAGACCCAGGGTTTTTTCATCCTCATCCACAGGCTCTGGGTTTTTCACAATGATATCTTATCTATGGGTAGTTGACAGCTGGTCTTCTTGTGAGTGAGACTGAGTCTGGAATGACCTATGTCGCCATCTTGATAAGGTCACCTCAATTCATCTGTGTTTTAGTAAGAAGAGCATGAGCTATAAACGTCACCTATATAAACAGATTGATTGGTCATCCATCCAACCAGGACCACTCAAGGGTAATGTATTGTAGTGGTACCTCTGTGATAAGTCCTGGTACTTATCTTTTCAGATCCATAAACTTGATTTTATGCAATGAGGGTTATTCATTACTAATAAATGGGCTTATCTAACCAACGTTACACAAGATGGGTAAATTATCACTTTATTAATTTAAAATGAGAAAATTGGTTAGGGTTATTTTGGTTAGAATTATAAAAACCAATGAGATAATTCATTAAAATATAAAATATGTATATATATTGTAAACATACAGTGGTTTATCACAGAACCCAAGACCAGGAATGCAGTTGGACTCCAGGAA